AGGGAGGAGGTCAGAGACCTGGCCATGTGGTGCCAGGACAACAACCTCTCCCTCAACGTGATCAAGACAAAGTAGATGATTGTGGACTACAGGAAAAAGAAGAGGACCGAGCATGCCCTCATTCTCATCGACGGGGCTGTAGTGGAGCAGGTTGAGAGCTTCAAGTTCCTTGGTGTCCACATCACCAACAAACTAACATGGTCCAAGCACACCAAGACAGTTGTGAAGAGGGCACGACAAAACCTATTTCCCCTAAGGAGACCTATTCCTCAGATCCTCAAAAGGTTCTACAGCTGCACCATTGAGAGCATCCTGACTGGTTGCATCACTGCCTGGTATGGCAACTGCTCGGCCTCCGACCGCAAGGCACTACAGAGGGTAGTGCGTATGGCCCAGTACATTACTGGAGCCAAGCTTCCTGCCATCCAGGACCTCTATACCAGGCGGTGTCAGAGGAAGGCCCTAAAAATTGTCAAAGACTCCAGCCACCCTAGTCATAGACTGTTCTCTCTGCTACTGCACAGCAAGCCAAGTCTAGCTGCTGCTACTCTCTGTTTATTATCTATGCATAGTCACTTTAATAACTTTAATAACCTACATGTACATATTACCCCAATTACCTCGACTAAACGGTGCCCCTGCACATTGACTCGGTACCGGTACCCCCTGTATATAGCCTTGCTATTGTTATTTTTACTGCTGCTCTTTATTATTTGTTACTTTTATTTAGTATTATTTTATATTGTATTTTTTGTGTGATTTTTTTTGTTATTCTTTCTTAAAACTGCATTGTTGGTTAAGGGCTTGTAAGTAAGCATTTCACTGGAAGGTCTACACCTGTTGTATTCGGCGCATGTGACAAATAAAATTTGATTTGATTTTTTTGAAATACTTTCTCTTTGAAGCTAGATTAAATGGCGATTGAGAGAAGAAATGTTTCCATTTTTTTATAGATTAAAATTAAGTAACGAAATTGAAGCGTCTTTGGGTCCTTGAAAAGTGCTATATAAATACCATCACACTGGGCACAGTGTTCAAAGTCTAGTTTTGATTTACATTTGGTTGAGTTGTCAACTAATGTTAATTCAACGGAAAAACTAAACAAATCACCATGTCATTGGATTTAGGTAAAAAATTGGGTGAAAAAATAAGAAATGCCCTTATGTTGATGACTTTTTGCGATTTCAAACAGTTTTCCACGTTGATTCAACGTCATCACATTGACTTTGTTGGTTGAAATGACGTGGAAACAACGTTGATTTAACCAGGTTTTGCCCAGTGGAAGGTGTTAATCATAATAAGGAAATAAGATTCAAAACGAACAAATCGATTAAAGCCACTTTGGTTCCTTGAAAAGTACTATGTAAAAAATTTAAAACTAAATAATCTCTCTCTGAAGATGACACAAGACAAATGTATTATTTTTGAATGCGCTTTCTCACCTTCTGAACATTACACTGGTGTTGCGTCAAGCACGTTAGTCCTTTCCACACCTGTATTATCACTATCATCCCTAGAGGGCGCCACATTCGGTGGCTTCAAACATACTGGAATAATACACTGACGCACTGTCACAAACACGTTTATTAGACTAGTTCCCATAATGAGACTTACTTTAATCAAAGTGACAAAATTATGAATTATCAGGTGAGAGGGAACAGCTCTACACAGAAGCAGTAGAAAATGGATTTCATCATGGTAATGATGCCAGCTGCTATTCCAATTAAGTAATCCTATAAATACATTCAGGTGATAGTTTAACACTGGTGGTGGACACATTTTCTGAAATACGTTGGTTATAACATAATTGATAACAAACCAATATTTAACTTTGCCATGCGATCATACAGTAAAATGCAAACATTTTAACAAATAAACGAGACACAATTTCTGCTTTTTCTAAGTGACCAAATCAAATCAAATCTTATTTGTCACATGCGCCGAATGCAACAGGTGTAGATCTTACTGTGAAATGCTTACTTACAAGCCCTTAACCAACAATGTAGTTCAAGAAATAGAGTTAAGAACATATTTGGTCAATGTAAATAGTCCGGGTGGCCATTTGATTAATTGTTCAGCTAGTATATTGGTCCTGGATGGCAGGAAGCTTGGCCCCAGTGTTGTATTGGGTCGTACGCACTACCCTCTGTAGTGCCTTACGGTCGGATGCCGAGCAGTTGCCATACCAGGCGGTGATGCAACCGGTCAGGATGCTCTCGATGGTGCAGCTGTAGAACTTTTTGAGGATCTGGGGAACCATGCAAATCTTTTCAGTCTCCTGAAGGGGGAAAAGGTGTTGTTCGGCCCTCCTTTTCCTGTAGTCCACGATCATCTCCTTTGTCTTGCTCACATTTAGGGAGCGGTTGTTGTCCTGGCACCACACTGCCAGGTATCTGACCTCCTCCCTATAGGCTGTCTCATCGTTGTCAGTGATCAGGCCTACCACTGTTGTGTGATCAGCAAACGTAATGATGGTGTTGGAGTCGTGCTTGGCCATGCAGTCATGGTTGAACAGGGAGTAGAGGAGGGGACTAAGCATGCACCCCTGAGGGGCCCTGGTGTTGAGGATCAGCGTGGCAGATGTGTTGTTGCCTACACTTACCACCTGGGGCCGGCCCGTCAGGAAGTCCAGGATCCAGTTGCAGAGGGAGATGTTTAGTCCCAGGGTCCTTAGCTTAGTGATGAGATTTGAGGGCACTATGGTGTTGAACGCTGAGCTGTAGTCAATGAACAGCATTCTCACATAGGTGTTCCTTTTGTCCAGGTGGGAAAGGGCAGTGAGGAGTGCGTTTGAGATTGTGTCATCTGTGGATCTGTTGGGGCGATATGTGAATTGTAGTGAGTCTAGAGTTTCCGGGATGATGGTGTTGATGTGAGCCATGACCAGCCTTTCAAAGCACTTCATGGCTACCGTCGTGAGTGCCACGGGCGGTAGTCATTTAGGCAGGTTACCTTCGTATTCTTGGGCACAGGGACTATGGTGGTCTGCTTGAAACATGTAGGTATTACAGACACGGTCAGGGAGAGGTTGAAAATGGTAGTGAAGACACTTGCCAGTTGGTCCGCGCATGCTCTGAGTACACGCCCTGGTAATCCGTTTGGCCCCGCAGTCTTGTGAATGTTGACCTGTTTAAAGGTCTTGTTCACATCGGCTGCGGAAAGCGTGATCACACAGTCGTCCAGAACAGCTGGTGCTCTCATGCATGCTTCAGTGTTGCTTGCCTCGAATCGAGCATAAAACGCATTTAGCTCGTCTGGTAGGCTCACGTCACTGGGCACCTCGCGGCTGGGTTTCCCTTTGTGGTCCGTAATAGTTTGCAAGCTCTGCCACATCCGACAAGCGTCAGAGCCGGTGTAGTAGTATTCAATCTTAGTCCTGTATTGACGCTTTGCCTGTTTGAAGGTTCGTCTGAGGGCATAGCGGGATTTCTTATAAGCGACTGGATTAGTGCCCCACTCCTTGAAAGCGGCAGCTCTAGCCTTTAGCTCGGTGTGAATGTTGCCTGTAATCCACGGCTTCTGGTTGGGATATGTACGTACGGTCACTGTGGGGATGACGTCGTCGATGCACTTATTGATGAAGCCGGTGACTGAGGTGGTATACTCCTCAATGCCATTGGATGAATCACGGAACATATTCCAGTCTGTGCTAGCCTAACTGTCCTGTAGCGTAGCATTCGCGTCATCTGACCACTTCCATATTGAGCGAGTCACTGGTACTTCCTGCCTTAGTTTTTGCTTGTAAGCAGGAATCAGGAGGATAGAATTATGGTCAGATTTGCCAAATGGAGGGCGAGGGAGAGCTTTGTATGCGTCTCTGTGTGTGGAGTAAAGGTTGTCTAGAGTTTTTTTCCCTCTGGTTGCACATGTGACATGCTGGTAGAAATTAGGTAAAACTGATTAAAGTTTCCCTGCATTAATCGCCGCTTCTGGATGAGCATTTTCTTGTTTGCTTATGGCCTTATACAGCTTGTTGAGTGCAGTCTTAGTGCCAGCATCGCTTTGTGGTGGTAAATAGACGGCTATGAATAATATAGATGAGAACTCTCTTGGTAGATAGTGTGGTCTACAGCTTATCATGAGGTACTCTACCTCAGGCGAGCAATACCTTGAGAGTTCTTTAATATTAGACATTGCGTACCAGCTGTTATTGACAAATAGACACACACCCCCGCCCCTCGTCTTACCAGACGTAGCTGCTCTGTCCTGCCGATGCATGGAAAACCCAGCCAGCTCTATATTATCTGTGTCGTTGTTCAGCCACGACTCGGTGAAACTTAAGATATTACAGTTTTTAATGTCCCGTTGGTAGGATAGTCTCGACCGTAGATCATCCAGTTTGTTTTCCAGTGATGGCACGTTGGCCAATAGAACCAATGGTAGTGGCGATTTACTCCCTCGCCTACGAATCCTCACAAGGCACCCCGACCTTTGCCCCCTGTATCTTCGTCTTTTCTTCTAGCGAATGACAGGGATTTGGGCCTGGTCTCCAGGAAGCAGTATATCCTCCGCATCGGACTCATTAAAGAAAAACCTTTGTCTAGTTCAAGGTGAGTAATCGCTGTTCTGATGTCCAGAAGCTCTTTTCAGTCATAAGAGATGGTAGCTGCAACTTTATGTACAAAATAAGTTACAAACAATGCGAAAAAACTACAAAATAGCACAGTTGGTTAGGAGCCCGTAAAACGGCAGCCATCCCCTCCGGCTCCATTATTATTAATTTAATTGAAATGACGTGGAAACAATGTTGATTCAACCAATGCCCTCTCTCTGCCGGCCTCTCAGAGGCCTGGGCCTCATGTCCCACCTACTAGCCCTCTTACTATCCCCTAATGAGCTCAAGTGTTTGGGAATTGGATCTCCTTGTTTCTCTGTCTTCCAGTCCAATCCAAGGTTTTCCTCATAGTCGGTCCACCATCCGTCTCCCATGCCTCTGTCTGTGAGAGTATTGGTTTTCTGGTGAGGACTCCTGAGGCCTCCCTAAGCCAGGTCTCTGTTGATCAGCTCCTCATCCTACACAGGCGCTGTGGTTGTGGTCCAGGCTGGGACTGCTGTCTCTCTCCTTGCTCCGGGGGAAGGGGGCTTGGTTGGAGGATCTCCCTGAGGTCAAGGCTCTCTCCTGTCATCCGTTCCCAAAATATGTCCTCTTGTGTTGGCCTGTTCAGTAGATACAGTCTCTGTATCCCTTTGCTGCTAGGTGCTCCAACTACAGAGGCCAAGAGAGCAAGACAATAATACAAGTACACCATTTATCTATGGATTGTATGCGTCAGTTAGAAAATGTTCAAGTTGGTGGTACAAAATGTATCCAGTCTCACAATTATCTATTTTATTTTTACCCCGTTTTCTCCCCAATTGGTAGTTACAGTCTTGTCCCATCAACTCCCGTACGGACTCAGGAGAGGCAAAGGTCGAGAGCCATGCGTCCTCCGAAACACGACCCTGCCAAGCCTCACTGCTCGCTTAACCCGGAAGCCAGCCGCACCAATGTGTCAGAGGAAACACCGTCCAGCTGGTGACCGAAGTCAGCTTGCAGGCGCCCTGCCCACCACAAGGAGTCACTATAGCGAGATCGGACAAGGAAATCCCGGCCGGCCAAACCCTCCCCTAACCTGGACGATGCTGGGCCAATTGTGCACCGCCTCATGGGTCTCCCGGTCACGGCCAGCTGTGACCAAGCCTGGGATCGAACCCGGTTCTCTAGTGATTCCTCAAGCAAAGCAGTGCCTTAGACCGCTGCGCCACTCGGGAGGCCAGTCTCACAATTATCTGTATAGATGGTCCTCTCGTGCACCCGCTGCTCTCGGACTCGTCTCTGGTGGGCTCTCCGTCTCTGCTGGGCCTGTTGACTGAGGACCATCTGTGCCTCCAGGAGTCCTCCCTACCCAACACAACCCAACCCACACAGCCAGAGAGACCACACCATTCATGGGTCACCAACAAATATAATATAGTCACATGCCACGTTATACACATAATGCACCAATGATATGCTACAGAAAATTCACCAAAAATATGCTACAGAAAAAACATGGATCTCTTGATCATGCCCTATGCAATGAAACATGAACATTTACAAAATATGTTCTGTCTGTCAGTTTGTGAGGGAGTGTATGTGCGCATACATGCTTGTGTGTGTTTGCCTGGTCGTGGGGTTTTTCCTGTTCCCTGTACCCTCTTGCATGGACTCACTCTGTGTGCAATAATAGTGTTTAACATGATTTTTGATTGACTACCTAATCTCTGTACCCCCACACATACAATTATCTATAAGGTCCCCCCACTTTCCATTCCACCAGCGCTGTAATCAGGCCCACTGGAACAAGAGGGGCCTGGGCTCGCAGCTCACCAGCGCGCGCTCTCTCTCTCTCTCTCTCTCTCTCTCTCTCTCTCTCTCTCTCTCTCTCTCTCTCTCTCTCTCTCTCTCTCTCTCTCTCTCTCTCTCTCTCTCTCTCAGACCCACTCACAGACCAAGCACAGCGCTATCTTGCTGGAGACACTATGCACTTACGCACGTACATTTCCTCTCATAACAACTGAGTAACATAGGCATGTTAATCCATTACAGTATCTATCTGCACCTGCGGCTGGCGGCCGGTGCCACCGTGTGCCCGCTGGCTGGGTGTAGAAAAGTGGAGGACACCCCCATCTCTCCAGTCCCTGCCCTGTGACAATAGAGAGAGAACAAACCAAACCGAAGCATAAGGTAATTTAAACAGCTTCAAAATTGACAAAGGCTTTGTATCCATGCAAACACACAGGTATACACACACAGAGACAAAATGACACTATGATGTTTTTGTGTTGTTGTTTTTTTACCATGGCCATGTGATTGGCAGTAACCTTGAGGCCTGCACTAAGAGGGGTCAGTGGTTGTAACGCTTGAAGAGAGAGAATGATGGGAGGTCTGCATGGGTACTAGGGGTGTAACGATTCGTTTTAACAACGATTCGATTTGTATCACGATTTGTGGTTGTCGATACGATTCAAGGACGATATTGGTTCATTTAGAACGATACGATCCGAAACGATTCAGTGACTTGAAATCGATTCAGTAACCTTTTAGCCAAAAATTCAACCAGTGTGACTGAAATAAATACCTGGATACTGGACAGTGCAGGTGAAGTTTCCTAGATTCCTGTTTCTTGTAAGGACTGCAATGGTGGCTTGATAATTTCTCGCTCGTCGGCTTCTCCTCGGTCGTCCGCCATGCTATGTTTTGTTGTCTTTGCGCCTTTGCGCTGCTGTTGGCGCGATGACGTCACGGATAGGCAGACTGAATCGAGTAATGTTTAAAGCCTTTATCATTAAAAGTGCTAAGAAAAAACATCCATATAAAGTCTGACGTGCTTAAATCCAATGGGTTATTTCCTAGTATCGATACAATCGATTTATTACATTTTAAAACGATGTTAGATCGATATATGTTGTCCAAAAGGCCAACTCGCCGAGCACAGATCGATGTAGTTGGATCATAGGAATATAAATCGATACATCGATGTAGTAGATGGATCGTTACACCCCTAATGGGTACACATACATCACAACCACAGTCAAAGCAATGATACAGCCACTCCTCCCCAATATAGAGTCCTAGACACTATACTGAAATACAATTTATCTCACATAGAGATAGGAAAGTAACAAAGTAGAAATATAGGAACAGTTGAACAAGAATGCTAGTAACAGTTTGCAGTACAATTTTAGTGAAAGCTATACTGTTCTGACCTGTAGTCTTCGTGGTAAATGAGAATGAATGATGCTTGGACCCCAAATGGTGATTTGACTCTGTGGGAGGCTGCTTGATACATATGATGATTCTTACACACACGCACATGCACAGATAGACACACAATACAGGTAAGCCTTCATGAGGATGACAACCAAGTTTTGAATAGTGTTCTGTTTGTATACCAACCTGTAGATAGTGGTGGGAATGTTGCAGGGTTTTCCAGTTTCAGTGGCGGCAGCTGGGTAGTCCTCCTATGTCCCTGGGGCCCATGTTGTTGCTCCAGTGGCGTTGGTGTGGCAGGGATGGTCCAATGTGAAGTGGGATGACTGGCCTGCTGGCCCTGGTCTCCCTCTGACTGATTGTGACACGGGGCCACCTGACTGAGCCTGGGCCTGGAGCCAGTAGAGCCCATAGTCCACCACTAGTCCTCTGCTATGGCCATCAGGCTTCTATGCTAGGCTTTTGCTTTTAGCGAAAGTCTGTTGCTCAGTCAAGCAATCACACTCCAATTTGGGTTGGTTAGTATTTTTGCATCCGGACGGTCTAAATTACCTTTAGTGTTGAAATCAGAGGAACTTGTCTCATCTCACTTGTTTTGGAGTTCTCCGCTCAGGTTCTCTCAGTCGCTTGGCTGTATGTGGTGTCCAATGCTCCCCCACGGCTGCTATGGCTCTTGATATACTGTAGTTGACTTTTCTTTGTTGATAAATTAGCATAGCCCTTTGGTATGACACCATGAGTTACATAATAACTTCCTTTGTTAGTTGTGGTGGCATACATTTCAGCTATCCATTTGTCATCTTATCTATAGCTATCAATCAAAGTGGGCTTCAAATCCTCCCACTGGCAACATGAGCGTTTCCCCCCTGAAACCCTCTCTCTGTATGTTGCATATGTACAAGTGCAGTAACCAGTTTTAGTTGTGGTTAACATGGAAGGTGTGTGCACCCTCCCTGTCTTTATACCTTTTCATTATAATGAGCTGTGTTTCTATGGCAACTCTCCCTACAGGTTACTTTGTAACTCCAAGTTAATGCTTGAAAGACCCTGTTCTGTTTCGAGCCCCATACCTCCTCCCCTCCCTGTTCTGAACTGCCCAGGCATGGGTAGAGAATCAGAGACAGAGCTGCCTCAACAACATATACTCTACTTTCCCAGGACTCAGTTTTCCACAAGGAAGTAATTCACAGCAGGAAATAAGGGTAAAAGTTGGAGCATGACTTTTCAATGCTGATGAGGAAGTTCAGACTACCTGCATAACATGGAGTAGTTGCCTTCTCTCCTGCCTCAGTATGTGGATATGTAACTATATCATCAGTGATGAGGGGTTTAAACCCCTCCCTACATTCCTCCTACTCCCCTTTTCTCGCTCATTTGGTTTAATGAGGCAGCAGCCACAACAGTCTGTGTCTGTGAATCTGTCACTTCAGCAAATGCTTCATTAGAGGGCACATCTCACTGACAGCACACCAGCCATCACAGCACTGACTGGGGATTGAGCTCTGTGTCTCACAGCCTCAGAGGAGAACAGCTCCAACAAACACACTCCACTTCGTCTCCAGGAATAAAGCAATTAATGTGCCCTGAAATGAATTTAAGATTAAGTTGTTCCATCTTTCATATTGGTTTCATTTTATTTATATCATGCTGAAAGGCTGTTTTGCCTGCTAGCTGAGGCGCCCTGCTGCTGGTTTTTACTGCTGCTCTGTCACTGTCTGGCTGTGGAGGAGCTGTGAGATGCTAACTGCACATGAATCAGTGCTTGGTTGCTGCTGGGCCATAAAAGCCTTTATACCTGGTTGTGACAGCGGGCATTAGGTGTGGTTCACAGCCTTCTAAAGCTCATTATAAAAAGTACTGATATAGTTGATCTAAAGAAGGCAGTACATTCTCAGGCCTGTGTGAGCAGTTCTAATGAGCAGTTAGTTATACATATAAACATGAACCTGCTGTCTGTGTGCCAAGTGTGTGGTCCATGCAGAGGTGATGTAATAGGAGGATCTGAAGGCCCTGGCTGTATGGAGAGAGAGACCTCAGAAGCTCTGCCAGGAGCCCCTGTCCAATGTGGACCAGATCCACTTCTATGGCTATTGATAACTGAAATATCGATTTATAGCCATCTCAATCATTTTCATGTTTTGAACATAGCATGTGTTTATGTGTTTAAAGGTAGTGAATGTGTTTATAAGATAATCTAATCTGATAGGCACCAATAACAAGAAGCGATTGGTCTTTTTTTGTATTTTATTAAAAAAAGAAAAGGAGCCTGTACATTAAGCATATACAGTGCCTTCAGAAAGTATTCATACCCCTTGAATTATTCCACATTTTGCTGTGTTACGGCCTGAATTCAAAATTGATTAAATACATTTTTCTCTCACCCATCTACACACAACACCCCATAATGACAACGTGAAAACATGTTTTTAGACATTTTTGCAAATGTATTGAAAATTAAATACAGAAATATCTAATTTACAGAAGTATTCACACCCCTGAGTCAATACTTTGTAGAAGCACCTTTGGCAGCGATTACAGCTGTGACACTTTCTGGGTAAGTCTCTAAGAGCTTTCCACACCCATAATTATTTTCGAAATTCTTCAAGCTCTGTCAAATTGGTTATTGGTCATTGCTCAACAACCATTTTCATGTCTTGTCATAGATTTTCAAGTAGATTTAAGTGAAAACTGTAACTTGGCCACTCAAGAACATTAACTGTCTTCTTGGTAAGAAACTCCAGTGTATATTTGGCCTTGTGTTTTAGGTTATTGTCCTGCTGAAAAGGTGAATTCATCTCCCAGTGTCTGGTGGAAAGCAGACTGATCCAGGTTTTCCTCTAGGATTTTCCTGTGCTTAGCTCCATTCCATTTATTTGTTATCCTGGAAAACTCCCCAGTCCTTAACGACTGCAAGCATACCCATAACATGATGCAGCCACCACTTGAAAATATGGAGAGTGGTACTCAGTAATGTGTTGCATTGGATTTGCCCCAAACATAACACTTTGTATTCAGGACAAAAAGTTAATTGCTTTGCCACATTTTTTTGCAGTATTACTTTAGGGCCTTGTTGCAAACAGGATGCATGTTTTGGAATATTTTTATTATTTTCAATCTGTCAATTAGATTACTATTGTGGAGTAACTATAATGTTGATCCTTCCTCAGTTTTCTCCAATCACAGCCATTAAACTCTGTTTTAAAGTCACAATTGGCCTCATGATGAAATCCCTGAGCTGTTTCTTTCCTCTCCGGAAACTGAGTTAGGAAGGACGCCTGTATCTTTATAGTGACTGGGTGTATTGATACACCATCCAAAGTGTAATTAATAACTTCATCATTATCAAAGGGATATTTATTGCCAGCTTTTTTTTTTTTTTTACCCATCTACCTTCTTTGCGAGGCATTGGAAAACCTCCCAGGTCTTTGTGGTTGAATCTGTGTTTGAAATTCACTACTCGACTGAGGGACCTTACAGATAATTGTATGTGTGGGGTACAGAGATTAGGTAGTTATTCAAAAATAATGTTAAATACTATTATTGCACACAGAGTGAGTCCATGCAACTTATTATGTGACTTGTTTAAGCACATTTTTACTCCTGAACTTATTTAGGCCTACCATAACAAAGGGGTTGAATACTTATTGACTCAAGACATTTCAGCTTTTCATTTTCAATTAATTTGTAAAAAATTCTAAAAAAACATAATTCCACTTTGACATTATGGGGTATTGTGTGTAGGCTAGTGACATTATTTTTTTTTACATGTAATTAAATTCAGGGTGTAACACAACAAAATGTGGAAAAAGTCAAGGGGTGTGAATACTTTCTAAAGGAACTGTATTTCCCAACCCATTCCTGTACATAATACTATATAAGAAGTAAAATGTAAATACTATATTGATACACCTCTGAGTAAATTCAATAAATACATATAAGATTGAGCCAAACTGGCCCTTTCAATATTTATATTCACAGAATACAGTCCGTGGAGCAGGTTCAAGGTTGGGTTTACCTGGTCTAGGGCAGTGTTTCACAACTCCGGTCCTTCAGTGCCCCCAACAGCACACATTTTTGTTGAAGCCCCGGACAAAAACAACTGATTCAACTTGGCAAGGGCTAGATGATTAGATGTGCTTGTCCGGGGCCACAACACAAATATGTACTGTTGGGGGTACTGGAGGACCGGAGTTGGGAAACACTGGTCTAGGGGCGTGTGACGGGCAAGAATGGGCGTGGCAAGGAGTTCAAGAAAGTAAATAACACTTTCCAACTTTCTGCTCAGCAAACTCAGCAGTAAATGTTCTCTTTTCACTCCCCAGTAGTTCCTGGGGAAAGTGACAGAGCTTTGATAGTTTCTCTCAGTCCTAGATACACTTCCTGTTCTCCTGATTTTGGACTTCCTGGTCTGTAGTCAGCACCAGAGTAATCTCGCCACGCTTCCCTGATGGGACATGTAGAAACGTGCGAGGATGGGGGTTGGTGATGGGATGGGGCAGTGGAGGATCATGGGATCATGCCATAGGGATTGAGACTGTGCCATTGGCTCGGCTGCGGCTGCGTGTGTGGATGCTGGACTCGGTCAGCTCCTCGCCATGCTCCTCAGACTTCTTGTCTGCGAAGGCGGCGAGGAAGCGCAGAGTGACGGAGTCCCACTCCTCAGGAAGCAGCAGCAGCAGGAAGCCCAGGCAGATGATGCAGGTGGCAGCCAGACGCACCACACTGAAGATAACCTCATGTTTCAACACATCTACCGCTACGGAGGGGGGAGGGAGGGAGAGTGGGAGAGAGAGAGGGAGGGAAGGAGGGGAAGGAAGAAGGTAGGGGGGGACAGAGAGATAAACATAGCTAACAATGCAGCTTACAATCAGCACAAAATGGCCAATACATTTTCTCTCTGCTCTATTGGCCTACACTCTTAGAAAAAAAGTTGCTATCTAGAACCAAAAAGGGTTATTCGGCTGTCCCCATAGGAGAACCCTTTGAATAACCCCCTTTGGTTCCAGATATAACCCCTTTTGGTTCTAGGTAGAACTCGTTTGGGTTCCATGTAGAACCCTTTCCACAGAGGGTTCTATATGGAACCCAAAAGAGTTCTACCTGGAACCAAAAAAGGTTATCCCATAGGGACAGCCGCAGAACCCTTTTAGAACCCTTTTTTCTAAGAGTGTAGACCCCTGCACCGCGCCAAGCTGTCGTAACCCACTGACCTTCATACAGGCCTCTGTGGTTAAGGAAAATAACTAGTCTGCAGGCATTTATTGTTGCCTTAGACACCTAATCCTCCCTTAGTGAGGGATAGTTGCTGTGTCTGTGTGAAGGCACATTGATGATTGGGTTTCCGAGGTGAGAGAGTCAGACTTGCTGTGTAATCTGTTTGCTGAGGGGGCCTTAAGTGCTGACCTCTGGATACAATACCTCTGCATGCACTAGAATAAAGAGGCCTTAACACACATTTCAGAGATGATACAGACATTCAACATTTGCGCATTATAAAGATGATGAAGAAAATAACCAGTTAGTTTATTTACAAAAGTGTGCACGTACACACACGCACACACAAACAGACACATACCTGCATTTCCGGGCACACTGAGCAGTGTCCCTATAGAGATGAGGATGGGGTACGTAAGCACCACACCAACATTAACCAGGATATTGAACACTGGAAGAGAAATGACAATGTTAACCCAAATATCTTTCCAAGTAAGAAAAAATGGTGTGTGTCTCCCATAGGTGTCCACTCACCCAGCCAGAGCCCGGCCAGGCCACACAGGTATCCCCAGGGCAGTGAGGACAGAGAGCCCCAGTGCTCCACTTTGGTGAAGTAGAGGATGAGGGGGATGAAGGAGATGAAGATAAGATTGAAGACACCCATGGTGGAAAGGAAGTGAGCCACCTCACCCAGGTTGGCACTGCCCAGGAACATCTTAAACAGCACCTGCAGCAGAGGAAACAATGTCCAAGTATGTTTTACTGATGGAACTTTGTGTAAAACTAATTGAAAATACTAAGAATTTCAGTAAACAGACATGCTTAGTAAACAAACCTTGTAGAGAGCCGATGTGGAGGCAGAGCCCACAGCCAAGGCCACGCCTATGATGGAGTCCCCATGGAAACCATCTGCGTATGCCATCATGACGATGCCTGTGATGGCCATTATGGCTGCCACAATCTGCAGGTAGGGATGAGGGAGGTAAACCAATCAACCTTAATACTTGTGCCTACTGTCCCACTCCCCTGTATGATTCATTGGGTAGCTGTGTGACTAAGCCCAATGAAGTAATAGTAGTGGTAGAGTACTGACCCGTACACCCATGAAGCGGTCCTTCAGGACGATCCAGGACAGCAGGAAGACGAAGGCCTTGTGGCAGCAGTAGAGGGCTGAGACGTCGGTGGCGGTCAGCTTCCTCAGGGCCAGCAGGTACAGGTAGTTAGTCAGGGTCCACAGGATGGAGAAGGGGGCTGTCCTCTTCAGGAACAGCTTAAGGGTCATCCCATCTTCCCCGAAAAGCCTGCTGCACTCTCTGACAAATAGAATTATAGAGAGGAAATGGAGGATAGAGCAATGGGAGAGGCTATTTACTTCTAAAAATTGTTGTTGTTGGTAAGAGCACTTATCAAAGGGATTCTAGGTCTATTCCCATTACTAAATGTAAGAGTGGGAATCCAAAAACTTTGGATGGAAAGTCAAAACTGTTCAGGTAAATTAGATAATTTTTGTTGTTTTTTTCCAGCCGCTTAATTGAAATATGCAGACATCACCATTACTTCAATGGCCATTTCTCCTGGTTGCGGTCAATATCCCCATTCACACGCCTGAGTGCCAATGGTAATTAGAGGAGGGATGTGTCATATAAACAACGTCTCACTGAGCACTGGAGGAGATCAAAGCCACTGAATACTGAACAAACAGCATTTTACAAATCTTATAATGGCTGTAGCTCCCATAAACACTTCTGGGTGTCACCACTGATTCAATACCCTCCATATAGTCTATGGAGTCTATGGCTTCTCAAAGAGAAATATATGTATAAGCCCTTCCCCACTGTCATAATAAATCACCTGAATCTCTGTATAGGCGTCTGCTTGTCCCGGGTGGTGACCACATGGCCTCCGTAGTACAGAGGGAAGAGGAGGATGTTCCAGTTGGTGCTGAACCAGGAGACAAAGAAGGGACAGGAGAAGGACTTGAAGGTGAGCTGGACCAGCTGAGTGGTGCCCACCCAAGAGGAGGAGACACATAGGACCAATAGGATGCCCCCCAGCACCTTCAGCACTGTGTTAGCACACGTCTGGTACGATGTCCCCTCTCCACTGGCCTCACTGCCTGGTGTGTCCGCATGAGACTCAGAACCCTCCTCTCCTGTGGGGGGAAAGCACATGCTGTTGAACTATGTAGGGGATAGGGTTATTGATGTAGGCATGTGACACTGTGAGAGGCATGGGCGTAGGTGTGGCTGAAGAGTAATTGCTTCAGCACCACGGACAGTGGAACTGGCTTCAGCACCACGGACAGTGGAACTGGCTTCAGCACCATGGACAGTTGAATGGCTTTAGAATCATGGACAGTGGAACTGGCTTCAGCCCCATTGACAGTTGAATGGCTTAAGCACCATCGACAGTGGAACTGGGTTCATGACCATGGACAGTGGAACTGGCTATAGAACCATGGACAGTGGAACTGGCTTTAGAACCATGGACAGTGGAACTGGCTTCAGCACCATAGACAGCTGAATGGCTTTAGCACCATGGACAGCTGAATGGCTTCAGCACCATGGACAGTGGTATTTGCCCAGCACAGTGGACAAGGCATATGCGTGGGTTTTTAATATTTGTGTTTCCAGTGTGTGGTTGTTGATGACAGTACACAACTAGTACATGTGTACCACTTGAGTAGCCATTGGCATGAGAGATTCATGACATGCAATTGTGTAATACAGCTGTCTCTGACCCTCTTTTCATCAACAGACACAATCAATTAGAATGTTCAGTTTTCACAATAAAACACTTAGCACTTGAGAATAAAGCTGATGTGGAATAGTTTTCACAAATACATTTACAGTGGATTGTTCCATAGGCCAATGGGTTCCATGCTCCATTCTTTGACACTATCCTGGCTGCCTCGCTGAGGTAAGCAAGCAAGAATTGATCATTCGTCCTTAGTGAGCAGTCAATCCCCCAGTTTGAATTACCTTAGTATGGTGGTTGCTGGTTGCCCATGTCAGAAATAGCACCGTAAAGTCATGATATAGCACAGTGGATACGGTCCTAACATAGACATGTAGTCAGACGTGCACAGAAACCTGACGCCCAAAAAACGATCCACAATATGGATGTGTCAGCCCAATCACGTGACATCTGTCTAGAAAGACATGACAACCTTGTCAATTGTGGCAGCCTCCTGTTTCTTATCATGCTTTCTATCACTATCTAAAGAAACTACAGGATTGATACAGTAGTTCAGATTTCTGACTATTGAGGAATAAGACTTTTCAAAAACACCTTTACAGCACTGAGCAAGATCTTCCACTAGGAAGTCAGCACTGAGCAAGATCTTCCACTTTCCCTTGTGGACATAGCAGGGCAACTACTGGCAGACTCCTGACATCTTTACAACCGCAAGAAAACATTGTTAAAAGGTTAGCAGACCTGCCTTTTTGTTTTTGCTTGCGACTGTAAAGAGAATAGATTAGCAAAGCTCTGAGTGTGCATTTCTGCATTCAGTGGCTTCAGTGCAGACTGGGTGGTATTTGGACTGGTGCAGTGTGCGTAGGGAGACTGGGAGCAAGGAGAACCCTAAAACTAACTGTGAGCACACACATCAAACCCACTACAACAGACAACCAGGAATTGAAAACAGAAATGTAAGGACTTATATTGAATGTTATTCCTTGCAGCAGTCATTTTGCAGTCAAAGCAGAATAATGTTGGGGGGTGCACTGCCTTAATGGATTGCGGGACTGAATGCCTTCTGGGTCATTGCTTACTTGCTGTAGTGTGTGTGTGTGTGGTTTGTGTATGTGTCACTGAGATGATGTGAGGGCGTTTCCGGAGAGAGTTAGGATCCGATATATAACCCTCCAGAGCATGATCAATTTACACCAGGGCAGGAATAAAATATGACATGTGCTGGGTGTTTGCTGCTCACTTTCAGCTTGCTGGTTCAGCACTATGGGCTCAGCCCTGCCATTTCCACCATGGCTATAGACATTACATTACAATAAAGCAGGAAGTAGCAGCCTCTCTCTCTCTCCCCCCTCTACTCAGAGCTCTAAGGAGGAGCATTAGCAGTGCTCAAAGCAATATGAGTACAATCAGTGCCTCAAAGGTATCCAATAAAACCCCTAACGTGCACCACTAGGTATCGACCCTCTGCTCCCAGAGAGAAAACAAACCTTTGGTTCAGAGCAGTCTTCCGTTCCAAAATAAAAATCCAGCTCAAAACTATAAAAGTGTGCCACTGAGATTCATACCTTGACTCTTCCCCTTAGGTTCTCTAAATCAGAAAGCAGTGTGTAATGGATTGGAATATGTATGAGATGAAACTCTTTCAAATCCGTTTTGATTGAAAGAGAACAAGGGTAACATTAATTGCTGGCTTAAAATGTCATAGATGCTTAAGAGTGTGTGTGCTGGGTTCTGTAAAACTTGAAAGCCTTAGAAGTAGGAGAAAAGACTTCAGCAGCACACCCAGAATGATAATGTCCTTGAAACTTTATGCTGTCTGACCCAAAGATACAATAATGCTGCTATTCAGTACCCATGCTAAGGTGTGGGCAGAAACGTCATGATGACAAACCTAACAGTAACAGCATTGAAAAGCATTCATACACCTACAGTTCGTACATAATATTAGATGAGCATTGCATCTCTCCAAAAAGTGCCTTTCCAGAGGAACGAAAAGACAATGCTGGCCAAACACACATTATGAAGACAAACAATGCATGAGAATCAGTTCCAGTCTATGTTGTTTGACTTCTTTCTTCAAATGATCATTTTGATAGGGAAACTGTATCTGTCACACTGAGGTTACTGTGACAACTTTCACTGGCATTTGGAACTCTGGCAATTTGGCTTGGGATCTTGGCGTATAGTGGTGAGTTTAATAATGTAGAGTTTTATATTGGATGAAAGTGTCATCTCCAATACATCCATGAAATGCAAAACTTGGCACTTAAATGTTTTATCGATTTGTATGCCTTAAAACTAAAGATTGATGACATGTTTTATCTCACTTTGTCCCAGATGGGGACAGACAGATATACCTTCAGCGGAGAAAGGGAGACAATCAAGAACTGCATGGTTTAAAAGCAGAAGTATAGATGTTGTATGCTAAGTTACATTTCTTTGTCCTCCTCCCATTGACCATTCAAAGACCATGCCCATACTGACAGGACCTAATTCACTGTACAGTACTGTAGTGGGTGCTGGGTGCAGAGAGTGACACATTGTAGGCTTGTTAGCATCCTGTTTCCCCAGGCAAATGCACCATGCTCTGATCCATTGCCAGGATGTGGATATTAAAACAAAACTATCATTCCACATTCCACCTCATTAATGCTGAATTATTGGCTACATTTGAGCTCCTGTAAACAGACTGCAATATTGTCTGCTGATGGTGCTATAAAAAGTTAGACCACAATACAGTAGGGCACAGCAAATAATAGCATAACAAAAACTAAGGTATCTCACACACTGTAGTCTAGACACCTGAGAGCATCATATGGCTGAGGTCTTGCAAAGGACAGGAATATCTTTACGCACTGCTGCTTAGTAGACCTTTACCTAGTAGGTACCTATATACAGCCAGTTACCTATACTGTATTAAGCCCCAAGCTATTATTTGAGTTGACTCATAAGCAAAGGTGTGAAATACAAACTCCCATTAAGAGAACATATACAGTATATGCTGACAACGTGGCGCATTCCAATCCATGACAGAGGAAGGGTGGTGGAGACAGTGATGGATAAACTAGTGCTGAATCTAATAGATGGCTAGTAGTTCACATGAATGTTCCTGCAGGGGTATACAGAGGTCAGGCAATGCATCTAGTCCATACCAGGTGAGAATAAAATACATGGTTTTATTGAGGATTAAGATTAAGTGTATATTTTGTTAATCTCTGGAAAATAGATACAAAGGCAATGGATGATATCTTAAAGCCTTAGAGACAGGACATTGTATGGCTGTGGAGAGAACAGTCCCATTTAAATGACAAGGTACCCATGTCCCTCTCTAAATGGGTTTTGCCTAAAACTAATCACATGCAAGACAAGTAAGAAAGAAAGAACAGATGTGAGAGCCTGTTTGGGTATGGCAACATGAGTGGTAAGGCACAAAATACAACTTGAACACAACTAAACATATGCTTTGATACCAGAGTCCCTGTCGATAAATTCTGTATCCCCTCCCAAAGAGTGGTGAAGAGCAAAGGCATGAATGTTTCTCATAGTTATGTAAAACAGTCATTCAAGTGAAAGTATTTAAATAATCCTAACAGTTGATTGGTAATATAAGCATTAATCTGATTGTGTATGATTGTGAATAGTCACAAGATAATGAAGAACATTATAGTCTACTTGATAACTATATTTTCAAGCCCTTCTGACATTTCATAGACTTAATGAGGAGCCCAGTCTGTGGAAGGCACAGTCTGTTCCCTTTACATAATCATAGAAAGCCCAGAGCAACACAATTATACTAAGACTGGACACATCCAAATTTGTTTTAGCTACCTTAACTCTCTCCCCCTCCCTCTCTCTTTCTTTCTCTACCTCTCTCATATTCTGCCCTTTGGGGTTGATTTTAATGAACAATGTAATGACCACATTACACCAAGGCCTCCACAAACATACTAATATGGAAAAACAGCTCAACTGCCATAGTTGTTTAGCCATAGGCATTAACAATGCATAAAGATATTGTAATCTCTCCACACATATCCTCGCTCTTATAGAAGGGTTTGATGAGTTGCCAATGCTGCCCATCTTAGACACACAGACACGCACACATACGCAAAACCCACAAACGTACACACACGTACCCAGACATGGCGCCTAGGGCCAGACTTCGTCCCTTCTCCCCCGTCCCCTACCCCCAGTCTGGTGTCTTTACCTTCGGAGATGGGGCAGGTGAGGACCTGGGAGCTGTAGGAGCTGAGAGGAGCCACTCTGGCCGAGTGCTTCTTCATCCTCCACTAGAGGCAGAGCCAACAGTCCCTCCCTGGGATGTGTGTGTGTTGTCTGTCTGCCTGGACTGCTGCTACATTCAGCAGCTCCTCCTGCAATCCCTCTGCATCCCCAGGCTCCTGGCTCCTCCACAGGCGGCTTGCTATAGCTCTCTATCCGTCTCTTCTTTCTAAATGTATATTGATGTTTATATCTTCTTATATCTCCTTCTTTCTCAATCAGTTGAGCTGACTCCCTCACTGTTTCTTACTCAGATGCTCTCTCTCTTTCTCTCAGTGCTGGAGCTCAGTAGAAGTGCTGTGGAGTGGAGACTACTGTTGCACTGTCTCCAAGGGAGACTGAGATTCAAGTGTGGGGCACCGTGCAATCACTCCCTTCATCTCTTTCCTGTCGTTCCCCCTCCTCCTCCCTTGCATTCCCCTCCTCTTGGTTTGCTCCGCAAATCAGCTGCTTTGTTTGGAAGGTAACCAAGCAGCCCCAGCTAATTATGCTGTGTTAGCTGCTTCTCTCTCTCTCTCTCTCTCTCTCTCTCTCTCTCTCTCTCTCTCTCTCTCTCTCTCTCTCTCTCTCTCTCCTCTGCTGGCACTTCTCCCCTACTTCACTACTCCTTCAGTCTTAGATTATATATAGAGGTCCTGTCCTGTTGTCTGCGCCACTGCAACATGATTGAATTAAACTGAGACAGGGAAGGGACTTACCTAAGTCCCCCCACCACCCCTAACTCCCCACTACACCTCACGACATGGAGATCTGCTGCAGTAGGATCTGGATGAGAAAGAGAAGCGAGACTGGCTGCACATCCTCTCTCCAACACCCACACATCCAGCCCACTTCATGGTGCTCTGTCATGCCAGCAGAAAGGGGGCTGGAGAGAGCATGGACCAGACACAAAGAATGTAGCTCCTACAAGGTACAGTATAATAATAGGGAAGAACAGGGTATCATTCAGAACTCTTTTTCAAAGGGTTTACTCCCTGTTCATGCTATTGTTTTTGATTGAGGAGTGCCCACTGTCTTAGTAAAAATGTATGCACACATGACTGTAAGTGGCTTTGGATAAAAGCGTCTGCTAAATGGCATATTATTATTATTATTATTATTATTATTATTATTATTATTATTATTATTATTATATTATCCTGCACAGGAGAGGGGAAACCACTTGTAGGTTTCCCAGTATGCCCCAGCAGAGGCGTGATGTCACGTTCGCCGAAAGGATTGGACCAATGCGCAGCGTGGAATGCGAACATACTTTATTATATATTCACCACACGAACAAAAACAACAAAACGATACGTGAAGTCCTTGGTAACAAACACAACCCAACACGGAACAAGATCCCACAATACACTGTGCCAAACAGGCTGCCTAAGTATGGTTCCCAATCAGAGACAACAAGCAACAGCTGATTCTCGTTGCCTCTGATTGAGAACCACCCCGGCCAACATAGATACACATGAACTGAAACTGAAACAAAGAACACGAAACAAAGAACAAAAAACATAGACTCTACACACCCTGGCTCAACATAAAAGAGTCCCTAGAGCCAGGGCATGACAGTACCCCCCCCCCCCCAAAGGCGCGTACTGCGACCGTGCCAAACATAAACCGAATAGGGGAGGGCCGGGTGGGCATTCCTCCTCGGAGGCGAATCCGGCTCCGGGCGTGACCACCACCCTCTAATAACCCCCCCGTAGTGCCCCTGGTCTGGTCCCGCTGGCTGGAGCTGGACCGGACATCGGTGGAGCGGATTGCTTAGGCTCCGGTGTGGAGCAGCTGACCGGTACCTGACCAGGTGAAACGGGCACGGGCTGTGCCGGACTGATGACGCGCACCACAGGCTTGGTGCGTCGAGCAGGAATGGGCCGGACCGGGCTGACGACGCGCACCCCTGGCTTGGTGCGGGGAGCAGGAACGGGCCGGACCGGGCTGACGATGCGCACCACAGGCTTGGTGCGGGGAGCAGGAATGGGCCGGACCGAGCTGACGACGCGCACCCCTGGCTTGGTGCGGGGAGCAGGAACGGGCCGGACCGGGCTGACGATGCGCACCACAGGCTTGGTGCGGGGAGCAGGAACGGGCCGGGCCGGGCTGACGACGCGCACCACTGACTTGGTGCGGGGAGCAGGAACGGGCCGGGCCGGGCTGACGACGCGCACCACTGACTTGGTGCGGGGAGCAGGAATGGGCCGGACCGGGCTGACGACGCGCACCCCTGGCTTGGTGCGGGGAGCAGGAACGGGCCGGGCCGGGCTGGCGACGCACACCAAGGCTTGGTGCGGGTGCAGGAACAGGCCGGGCCGGGCTGGCGACGCGGACCATTGGCTTGGTGCGGGGAGCAGGAACAGGCCGGGCCGGGCTGGCGACGCGCACCATAGGCTTGGTGCGGGGAGCAGGAACAGGCCGGGCCGGGCTGGCGACGCCACCATTGGCTTGGTGCGGGGAGCAGGAACAGGCCGGGCCGGGCTGGCGACGGCACCATGGCTTGGTGCGGGGAGCAGGAACAGGCCGGGCCGGGCTGGCGACGCGCACCATGGCTTGGTGCGGGGAGCAGGAACAGGCCGGGCCGGGCTGGCGACGCGCACCATAGGCTTGGTGCGGGGAGCAGGAACAGGCCGGGCCGGGCTGGCGACGCGCACCTTGGCTTGGTGCGAGGGGCAGGAACAGGCAGGGCCGGGCTGGCGACGCGCCTCATAGGCTTGGTGCGGGGAGCAGGAACAGGCCGGGCCGGGCTGGCGATGCGCACCATTGGCTTGGTGCGAGGGGCAGGAACAGGCCGGGCCGGGCTGGCGACGCGCACCATAGGCTTGGTGCAGGGAGCAGGAACAGGCCGGGCCGGGCTGCGTGGGACAGGAACAGGCCGGACCGCACTGGGAACACACACCACTGGCCTTATACGGGGATCAGGAACGGGCCGTGCCTCTACACTTTCCCTCCCTCTAATCACCAATGGCTCCCGTAACCCGGTGGCCTTCTCTCCTAGTCCACAAACTCGCCCCTTATCTGCCTCCAGCAGCCCCGTCGTCCATGCCATGTGCCCCCCCCCCTAAAAATTTCTTGGGGTTGCCTCTCGCCTGTCCGACGACGACACTGTTGGCGCCGTACCTCCTCTCTCGCCAAGGCTTTAACCTTTGCCCATGGTCCTCTGCCCTCGAACATGTCCTCCCAGGACCACCATTGGCCCACCTGGGCCATCGCCAACTTCTCCATCTCCTTACCCGGCGTTAGCTCCGAAACACGCTGCTTGGTCCAGTATTGGTGGGATCTTCTGTCACGATCGTCAAAAGGATTGGACCAATGCGCAGCGTGGAATGCAAACATACTTTATTATATATTCACCACACGAACAAAAACAACAAAACGAAACGTGAAGTCCTTGGTAACAAACACAACCCAACACGGAACAAGATCCCACAATACACTGTGCCAAACAGGCTGCCTAAGTATGGTTCCCAATCAGAGACAACAAGCAACAGCTGATTCTCGTTGCCTCTGATTGAGAACCACCCCGGCCAACATAGATACACATGAACTAGAAACTGAAACAAAGAACACAAAACATAGACTCTACACACCCTGGCTCAACATAAAAGAGTCCCTAGAGCCAGGGTGTGACACGTGAGCTCAGGGCATAACCAGCTAGCACATTTGGTTCCTTGGAATTTGTGGGAACGTACATTTTTTGTTTCCCATTGGTTCTGTGAATGAAGCCAAATGTTTCCTGACCGTTAAAAATGAAACAAATTGCCTGTTCTGGGAACGTTTATTTTTAGGTTGCAGGGAGGTTCTGAGAACGTTTTACTCTGGTTCCTTTAAATTTTTCCTGGGAGGTTTTATTAACGGAAATAATAGGTTATTTGGAGGTTTGTGAATAAGTTCCTAATACTTTCACTGAATGTTTCAATTAGACTTTTAATACCCCTGCTAGCTTATTTTGGGTTCCTTTTTTTCTTCTTTTTTCTAAGCACAGATATGACACATGGAAATGAATTTCCTTATGCATTAATCATGCAAACATTTATTTTTTATTTTGACACAGCATTAGTGATTTAGAACCTAGAATCTTCTGTTCTCTATCCATGGAATTAGTCCACTTGCTCCACCAGGATGGCACTGGCATGCCATGTTTTTTTTATGCATACAAAGCTGTTCATTTTAGTCTATTCAAATGGACCCCATTTCAAAAGAAACAAGCACCCATTAAGAATACACTTAACAAGATAGAGGATAGCGAGAGTTTTGCTAATGCCGAAAACGTAATGTACATGTTTTTAAACAACATTCTTAGTACGTTTTCTGAACATTACTAAAGTTTTCTTGTGGTTTTAATGGAATGTTTTCTTAATGTTCTAGGAATAATTTGAGAACATGACTTTAAATAGAACCATTGGGAAACCTGTAGGAAACGTTATCTGAAGTACTGAAATTCCCACAAAATAATTGTTGTTTCTTAACATTCTCTGAACTATTTGAGAACATTCCCAATGTCAAACCAGTTAGATAACGTTCCTAGAACATTACCAAAATTGAAAGCAAATGTAACAATGTTTGAACTGTTAGGAAACGTTTTGTTAAAGTAATGAAATTCCAAGAATAATAATAATATGCCATTTAGCAGACGCTTTTATCCAAAGCGACTTACAGTCATGCGTGCATACATTTTTGTGTATGGGTGGTCCCGGGGATCGAACCCACTACCTTGGCGTTACAAGCGCCGTGCTCTACCAGCTGAGCTACAGAGGACCACATTGTTTTGTCAAGTTCCTTAAATGTACTGAGAATGTTCCAAAGCCAAGCAACTATCTTGCACCATTCCCAGAAAGTTGTGGGAAGGTTGTATGCAAAATAACCATAGGACAACCACGCTCTCACCAAACTCTAAGAAACATATGGTTCTCATAACGTTATGTGCTAACTGGACCATGGGAGTGTGGTCAAGAGTTTCCGTCTCACATTGCCCTCCCTCCCTGTCATCCTGCCTCTGTCTGCGGTTTTCACAATC